AAGAAGAACGTTAGAAATTTGGGAACAATAAAAAGAAAATAAAGAAAACAATTGAATTGGAAAACACCCTAAAAGAAAGGTGGCTTGTCCAGAACAACCTATCAATATTCTGTGCCGTTTCGGAAGCTAGCTCTTCAAACTACCTGAAAGCTGCGAAACACGCTTTCCATACTCATTCCAGTAAGTCGTCCAGCAATAGCACCCATCGCGATTGAAGGTACAAACAAGCCACAAGGAACCTAGAAGAGATCAGAGTAACACCACCACAATGAGCTCGTGACATTAATCAGCTGTCCCACCTTGATACCAAATGTGAAAATAGTGAACACAAACTTAAAAATGAGAGCCATTATTAGATCCCAGAAAGCACTCTGAAATGAACAATCTTGCCAACAAACTTGACAAAGAAGCATGAAATGAAAGTCTCACCCGCACTCCACTTCCAAATACTCCAGTATGATAATTGTCATCAACTTTATTACTTGAAAAAGTTTTATTCTGGTAGTCACAAAGATTCTGCATATAGTCTTCAGGACCACATCGGTCAAAGAGCTGCAACCAGTATTATTCTTCAGAACAGAGAGAAGCAGGAAGTACAACGACTTTTTGAAGCTCTTCCCCTTAACAAAACGATGGTATTCAATGCTCATTTTTGGCTATAATATTCTTATAAAGTCTGCTATGTTACGAAATCGAAACCACACTGGCATAAGCACTCTATTTTTCACAATTTTCGAGGTCTAATGTACATTTTACAGGAGCGTGGAGATTCCGAACATAACAGCATTTTTTCAGTATTTTCCGTAAATTCGTAAATTCAACCCTGGCAGGTTTTCGGACACCACTTGTGAACATAAATAATTGTCAAAGATAATAGCAAACGAAAAAAAACGCGAAACTAAGAGGAAGAAGCACATTCGCGGCGTTCGAATAAAACGTGTGCCCTCACAGCATGAGCCTAATACTCCAGGGAATAGGGCACTCTGATTTCGCTAGTGAGAGAGATAGGTGTGATGAGTTAAGTAGGAAATCATCATCGAAGGAATGGAGAGGAACATCGCCTTTTAAGAAACCATATACTCCACTAATACGACTCCAGAACGTTAAGAAAAAATTACGCTGAAACTTCGCCTATAAAGGTCATTAGGTACCTAACCACGTACATGACACTTGTTTTCGGCTGGCGCAAATTTGTCGCGGCCGCCTTTTTCACCAAAATCGATGAAAACTTGAACGATAGCGCTGTTTGATAGTCCGATCACATTGGCCTTCGTTTTTCGACACCGGCGCGATTTCGCACACTGCTAAGGCTGCGTCTGGGAGGAGCAGTGGTTCCCCAACCGCCATCCTCGGCCTTAGCAGAGCGCTGCCCTATGTTAGCGCTGGGTAAATATTATGTTCGTGATCAAGACGCCATAACCTTAGCATACAAGCATGAACAATTTTTGGTGCAAAGGCCGTTGTGCCGATTGGTGCCAGCGCCAAAATGAATATGATTTTCGTCAACACTTTTATGCAAGTTCCCATCGATATTGATGACAAGGTGGTAGCGCCAAATGGCGCCAGCGCTGAAAGTGGATACCATATTCGTAGTCGGAGCTCAAAAAACGCTGATAGGCGAAGTTTCAAAGGAATTTTCTGTTTTGGAGGCGTAATAGTAGAGCAGTGCTCAATAAATGCAGGCCATGTTACAAACTTTGAAACCACGCAGACCTGTATAGCAATAGTTGAGTAAGGATATTCCTCTTTGTTATCCAGGAATGGATAACCATTCAGTTCAATGTGAGCATCGTATATGCCCTAAAACCTCCAAACCACTGAGCTCAAGTGAAATTCGAGAAAAAAAGAAGGGTCCATCAGTAGAAGCTATCGCAAGGAACATGTGTTCAAGACAAGCCCTAATAGAAAGCGGGCACTAACGGTTTTGCATATGGCATCGCCAATCCATTTAGAAAACATTGTAGCCACCATCGTCGGCACAATGAATTCCAGACTACCAGTCAGCTCGAACATAATAACCACAAGTGATACGGTCATTCTGAATAGGAAAAGATAAATGAAAAGAAAATATCTGAAGATAAAAGTAGGCCAAGAATTCAGCAAAAAAAATAATCGCAAGGGAGACAAGTACTAACCTTGTCACACCTCCTAGCACTGCCGCTGCACCGACCATAGCATAGAGTCCAGGCATAACGCAGTCCTTCCCAATTTGACAGGACCAGTAAGTCGAGTGACCACTCTGCATCTGTAGTGAACAAGAACGATAGAAAATTGGGAAAAATAAAAAGAAAGTAAAGAAAACTAATGAATTGGTAAAGATAGATGCTCGTCCAAAACAATCTATCAAGAGTCTGCGTCGTTTCGGAAGCTAGCTCTTCAAACTACCTGAAAGCTGCGAAACACGCTTTCCATACTCATTCCAGTAAGTCGTCCAGCAATAGCACCCATCGCGATTGAAGGTACAAACAAGCCACAAGGAACCTAGAAGAGATCAGAGTAACACCACCACAATGAGCTCGTGACATTAATCAGCTGTCCCACCTTGATACCAAATGTGAAAATAGTGAACACAAACTTAAAAATGAGAGCCATTATTAGATCCCAGAAAGCACTCTGAAATGAACAATCTTGCCAACAAACTTGACAAAGAAGCATGAAATGAAAGTCTCACCCGCACTCCACTTCCAAATACTCCAGTATGATAATTGTCATCAACTTTATTACTTGAAAAAGTTTTATTCTGGTAGTCACAAAGATTCTGCATATAGTCTTCAGGACCACATCGGTCAAAGAGCTGCAACCAGTATTATTCTTCAGAACAGAGAGAAGCAGGAAGTACAACGACTTTCTTAAGCTCTTCCTTTTAACAAAACGATGGCATTCAATTCTCATTTTTAGCTGTAATATTCTTTTAAAGTGAACTGCTATGTTACGAAATCGAAACCACACCGGCATAACACTCTATTTTTCACTATTTTCCGAGGGATAAGGTACATTTTGCAGGAGTGTGGAACGATTCTGAACATAAAAGCGTCTTTTTCAGTATTTTCCGTGGTCGTATCATTCGGACACCACTTGTTGAACATAAACAATTGTCACAGATAATAACAAACGAAAAAAAAAACGCAAAAGTAAAAGGAAGAAGAAACATTCGCGGTGTCCGAATCAAACGCATGCCCTACACATGGGGCCTTATACCCCAGGGAATAGGGTACTCTAATTTCGTTAGCGAGAGAGATAGGGTGATGAGTTGAGTACAGAAACCATCATCGAAGGAATGGAAAGTAACATCGCCTTTTAAGAAACCATAATGAATATGAATGAGAAATCGAAGAAGTTGTGCAGATATTGCTAAGAGAACTGCCCCCTTAACAAGGGAGGTCGTTCAGGGCGTGGTGAGCTTTTTCAAAATGGTCTTGTGCATATTGTAGGGGCACATACGAGGACCAGAAAACTGAGGTTCATTTTCGCTGCGCGCTTCTACGAATAAAAAAAACGTAAAAAATAGGTCGATGGTTCGGATCCCACCGAGGACAAAATTTTGCTTTTCTACAATTTTTCATTTTTTGGATCCATGTTTGTATAAATAATTGGTCCTAACAAAAACATTCACGATAAACTGAACAATCCTACTTTTATGGAGCAAAACTGCTTTTTCCTTCGAGTTCGTTATTATGCACAGATTCAGTTCTTGCCGGTGCCAGATGGCACTGGAACCGAAAATAAAGTTTAGAATCGTGATCAGGACTGTCGATTACCCCTAGAAGCAAGTTTTGAGCGAAAATTTTTTTTTGACTTTTTCGGGTTGTAGGTTGACCATTTGGTCGGCAGTGTGAGCGGAGTCTCACATCTTCGTAACAGCGATCACGTATCGTATCGTATGCGGACCCCGAACAACCCAATAAGCAGACCCAAGAAGGACGAAACAATTGTTTTGATCGAAAATTCGCTTTTAGTGGTAATCAGTGGCCCTGATCACAAATATAACACCTATTCTTGGCGTCCACGCAATTTGGCGACAGAATAGCGCTGAACGTTCCCTACATGGGTGTACATAACGAATTCACTGGAAAGAAGAAGTGGCCCCAAATTTTCTATAGTTGACACCACACCAGCCAGAAGTTACTAATTTCGCAATCAGGTCCACTGTATAGCCTATGAGGATCAACGTCCAGCAACAATCTTGTTCAGTGGTGCGTGAAAATCGAAATAGTTGAATAGCACTGACTCATGAGGTGAAACTACTCGGAATGTGCCCATAAATGGCAAATATCCGAGTTGTATTCATGCGCAGACACAAATGGAAGCTAGAACAGCGAAATCAAAAAAATGCAAAAAGCCGCGACGCAAGGGGAGCCGAACCATCAACCCCACCCCAACTGTCCGACTGCGAAACCTCCACTCTATCCACTAGGCCATCCGTTGCTCGACTGTGCGCACCGCTGTTATCGTTGATGAAACCATAGCAAGGAGCCGTTCACAAGGCGTGATGACCCTGAGACAATGACTCCAAACGTTGGGAAGCTCACTTGCGGCGACTTTTCGCTTCGATTCAAATAGCCCCTTTATAAGGACCCCCACTCAGCTACTGGTCAAAGTTGCAAGTGACCTACGCCGTATAGAGGCCCAAAACGGAGCAGATTCCTGAGATTTCTTTTCACTCGTTTTTTACCTTTCCTGGAAGCGCGCAGCGAAAATGAAGCACACTTTTCAGGTCCTTGCATGAGCCCCTACAATATGCAAAAAACCGTTTTCGAAAAGCGCACCACGCCCTGAACGACCTCCCTTGTTAGAGACACCCAAATTTAATCCGCCTCTGTCAGGTTACCCTCAGGATGACCATCCAGCATGCTGGATACACACAAAACAAAAGAAAGACGAGTGCACTGTATGAAAACAGTCGAAAAAACCCTATAAACTGCGTCAAGCAAGACGTATTTTTGATAGTTGAGCTTTGCCAGTGTAAAAACTTTACGAACCTGTTTAATCATGCTCGAAGCACTCTTCCTCATGTATGGATTGAAGTATGAGATAGCAGCAGTGAGAAAAGTTACAACTATGACTTCGTAAATTGGATTGCCACCGAGAGTTTTCGATGTTTTTCGGAAGCGAGACCATCTTAAAAGGCAGATCTTGTCGGACGGCAGACGAAAAAGAAGCAAAGAAAAATAAAAATCAGGGAACAAAAATTTGACAGACGTATCGGAAAATGGCACTATTCTACTAGTTCGACTCCGAAACCCCAAAAAGGTTTCCTCGCGAAACTCAACCTGTAGATGTTATTCGGTGATTCGGTGCACTGAATATGAAATACTGCCGTTGGCGTCACTTCGACGCCGACATGGCGTCACCACTTCGCTCACAAAAATCGATGAAAACTCGTATTTTACATCCTGATCATGAGTATGACATTCATTCTTGATGCCGGCACTAACGTATAGCACTCTCATAACTTGCGCTCGCCTGAGGATGAGCCTGGCGGGAAAGGAATCACCACCCCTACGCTGAGCCTTAGCAGAAAGCTAAATTGAGCTTGTGCCAGAAAATGAACGGGATATCAATCATTCTCATTATGCAAGTTTTCACAGATATGAAATAAGTGGTGACGCCAACTGACGGCAACGCCAAAAACGAGCGTGATATTCGTGACCAAGTATCAAATAACCCCGTAAACAGATTTACATCGATTCTGGTGAAAAACGAGGTGACGGAACCAAATAAGGCCAACGGCAGAAATGATTATCATATTTGGAATCAGGGCACCGGATAACCTCTGAAGGCAGAGTTTCAGAGAAAAACAAATTGTGAAGCCCTAAGTGAAATATTGCCCGGAAAACCTAGACGTCGATAGAGACAGGAATTTATTATCTCAAAAATGACTAACCTTATATTACCAAAAATGAACAGACTTCCAAGTATTCCTCCAAAAAGGCCTAAACCAGCAAAAGGGATAAGCTCCACAAATGTCCATTTCATCATATAGTCGACATGGAAGAGCGATGTCTGAACAAATAGTTATTCTAGGAAATGAACTCGTTTCTAAATTCTCTCGTACGGTGCAAACAAAGCCATATGTGGCTTTGTAAGTGGTGCACTAACCAGGGAAGTCCACCAACTTACCATGGAACTTTGAATGGAGACCTGGGTAGATCGATAGAGTCTATAAGGTTATTTACAAATATAGATAGCAAAACTACAACAACTTATAAGCAGGTCAAGTGTCGTGGTGATTCAGTGGTAAGGTTCGACGTTCGACGACTCGATTCGACGTATGCGATTCCTCGCTTATGCTTCACAGCTCACCACCAAGCCTCCACCCTACTGCACCATTACAAACTTTACCTGCTCATAAGTTGCTTGTGTTGCAGTTTTGCTATCTATATTTGTAAATAACCTTATAGACTCTATCGATCTACCCATGTCTCCTCTCAAAGTTCCATGGTAAGCTGGCGGACTTCCCTGGTAAGAAACAACCAAAGGTCTCACAAGACCAAACCTGATCACTGCCGAATGGATTTACAATTCGTAGAATGATCCCAGCAACAAGAGCACAAAAGAATGACCGCCACATAGTCTTCAGTGGGAAATAATAGGACGCCTCTTCCAAGCTATAAGCAACCT